AGGTCATTTGTAGATTTGTTTTTTGAAAAGAAAATTTAAATGTGTATATAAAATGTTTTTTTAAAAAAATCAAAAATATCATTATATTTTATATTTATGAAGTATACTTTTTTTATATATTATTTTTCATTTACATCTGCAACGAACGCCAGTTTGAGAAATAATACACCTGGATTTCAGAGACTTAATAGTTGGCAGCTGCACATGAAGGGAAGAGAGAGCAAAACAGAAAAAATGATTCCCGCTACTGACATGAGATTCATTCCGCAGCTGAAATCCTTCTCCACTGTGTCAGGACATGAACGACTCAACATTTTATTTTTTATTTTTATAGACGACGATGACTTCGTGAAATTCAAGTCAAAGTCGAATAATTGATTATGTCATTGACATTTTTCAGCACAGGAGAGCTTTTTTTTTTTTTTTTTTTTTTTTTTTTTTGGGCACCACAGACCGATTTCAAATGAAGCCATACTTCAACGGCCCTGCATAGGAAATAATAAAACCAAATGACGACAGACACAAGTCACCATTATGGTCATTGTCGTTGCTGTAATTAGTGGGAGGCCCGTGCAAGTTTTTTACTTCAACGTCGTTCTCATCTTGTGCTACATATCATAGTCTTAGATTTGGGCCTCAGTTCGGTGACCTTTAAGGCCATTCCGACAGTGGGATTTTCAGATTTAGGCCCCTTTGGCTCACATAATTAGATACTAAATGACTTGAGCCAGACTGTTATATTGCTCTGACCTTCATTCTTGCTAATGCTGCTTCCTTGCATACTTGCCAGTTGAAACCAGTGAAGACTGTGAAGTCATACAAAGGAAGATAACAACAGATTGTTTTGGATATGTCCCTGCGACAGACGAAGAGCAGGAAACATTTTGAACATGAAACCTTTGACAACTGCAAGGCGAGCAAGGCTCCACGGGTCTGTGAACTCCATTTTTCTTACATTTCCTGTCTTGAAAACATCTCAATTGAGAGTATACGTAAGTAAGAATATTTTCTCTGTTTAACTTGTGCTTTGAAAGTGTTCGAGGATAAACTTGCATAATTTACAAGTGACCATGCTCCTGACCTCACTTTTTTTTTATATATACAGTATGTGTGTGTGTGTGTGTATGAATCGCGTTATTGCGATGCTGGTGCAACAAGGCCAAAGATAGGAAATAACTTTCTGATACGAATCCGTTTTCGTCATCATAATAATGCTCCCTGGCTTCTCAATGTCGCTGCTGTTTTTCCACCCCCAAATCGCAATAAAAATCTCAAATGTGATTGACTCAATTGCTCTCTCGATTTAAAAGTACAGTGTGTACAACTCACTTTGCATCGAGCGGTAAACTTAACAAATTGCCATGACCAAAGTTTGAAGTGTGTGTATTTTGTCGCATGTGCGCTACGGTGCCTCAGAGAGACCACACTTCACAAACCAAACACCATTTTTTTTTTCAGCAGAGGGGCCAGCGAAATGTCATCACAAACGACTTGTAGTATTCCCTCGAGTAGCGAAGGAAGTGCATTGCATTTGTTACGCATGCTGTAGTCTTTAATCCAGCAAGTTTGTGATCGGGTGAATTGTCTCCTTCGGCCTTCCGTAGCAGAAAAGATGGCGATGAAACATGGCCGCCTCCTGTTCGGTGAGGTATGACCCATGTAATAAAATATAAGCAATGACTAAACCTATAATTATATATTTTTTAAATGTATGTTGATGTGATAGTACGTACATTTTTGCATTTTATTGAAACTAAATGTGAGTTTTAAAATGAATGAACACTGAAATATCAAAAAGGAGGAGAAAGTACACGTATCCCTTTTTAAATGTAGAGAGTTAAAGTAAGTATATTCAAGTCAGGTACAGATACCAGAAAAAAAAATACACTTAAAACTCAGTACCAGCCAGTTCTGGACCAAGTCTGAAAAGACGTTTGAAAACGTCTTTGGGAGTGAATGAGTTAAGAAGAGCGATGAAGTATTTGTTGCGGCTGTTTTTTTAGACAACATATCATGAAAGTTTGTCATATTTGACCATCGTGGTGCAGCTGTGACCAAGTGTGCACAACCAGGTGCCTCACAGGCAGCCACGTCATGAGAGGATAACACACAACAATGATTGAACAAATGTAATAAACAGAGGAACACCGCCTCCGCTCCACCCCTCGGCTGGCTGAAGCAGTGTCATATGAGCGTGATGTTATGCTAAATCTGCCCGCAGCGTGCTCTTCACGGGCACGGCCCACCACATCCAGCGGGGCCGTGCGGATGACCTGAGCCGGTCCTGCCTGCCTGCCTGCCTGGGCTGCACACCAACAGATGCGGAATCGCATTAACCAAACGCCGCAATTAGTCTCACTCGTTCGTGGGTTAATGAGTTTGTGGAAACGCGCGACCCGTTCCTCATTAGGTGATTTCTCATGCACTGATGAGAGGGAGAGAGAGAGAGAGACAGACAGACAGACAGACCGACAGATAGATATAAGGAGTAAAAAAGATTTACATACATACATCTGTGTATATATATATATATATATATATATATATATATATATATATAATGTGTGTGTGTGTGTGTGTATATATATATATATATACACACACACACACACACACACACACACACACACACACACACACACACGCACACACACACATACACACGAGTTCTAAGCACCATTGCTGCAATATAACTGATTGTTCCACCCAGTCAGGAAAGTAACACTGAAGTATGAATTGGCCTTTCTTGCACCGAGATGCCAATAAAGGTTGGTTGAAACACATCACTAAACAGATTTTTGTATTTGATGATTGTCCCGAGGTGTGAATGTGAGCGCGGATGGTTGTTGGTCTCTGTGTGCCCTGCGATTGGTTGGTAACCGGTTCAGGGTGTCCCCCGCCTACTGCCCGAAGACGGCTGGGATAGGCTCCAGCATCCCCCCCCCTCCCCCCGCGACTCTTGTGAGGATAAGCGAATCGGAAAATGGATGGATGGCTGATTTTGATATCTATTTTGTTTATATAGAGAGGATGTCATTAGGTTGTACATGTTCATCCATGTATTCAACTGTCCGACACACCCGCATAACAGAAATAAATGGATGTTCAGGATGTGGCCTCAGTAGCGACAAGCAAGTTGACACTAATAGGAAAAGGTGTGAGGCAAACTGTTTTAGCTCAGCTGCAATAAAACTTTTGTTCATTAGGAGGAATCCTTAATTGAACCCGCAATGTTTTGATGCCGAAACAAGAAAAATCCAATTATGGGCTTGCAGGCGGTGCTGCTGATCGGAAGTCATATCTCATCAATTAGCACCCTGTGACCAGCAAGGGGCCCGCACTGTGTTGAAGTGGGGTCCACATTTCATCTTGGTAAGGTATTTTCACCTCACATCCAGTGAGTTTATCTTTTACAAATATTAATATCTGGAGAAGATAATTGGACATTAAAACAAAGGCACATATTTGCTTGCTGTTTTACAGTATGAGTAAATATTGATGATTGTGACTGTGAGATTGCTTCTTATGTAAAAAAAAAAACAAAAAAAAACATGGCAACACTAAGGAGATTGTATTCACAATTTAATCAGCAGCACGATAGGACATACTTATTATTAAATTATGCAATTTGTGTGAAACTAAATGCAAGTATACGGAAAGTAACCGTGTCTATAAGATCCAATGCCAGCGCTATTAAATAAATAAATACATAAATAAATAAAGGCTCTTCAGAGATATTATTTTTATTCTTAAAGGAAGAAACTAGTCCTTTTTTTTTTTTTTTTTAAGATTATTCAAAGTTCTTTCATGATTCACTACCAGAATCAAATGGTTATTGATGGTGTTCAATATCCAAGAATCATTTGTGCATTTGGTGTGCTCTTATGTGGCCAAAGACCCACATTTGGGTACTATGTGTAGAACCTATTTTTTAAAAATTATTATGATTAGTCTGAATAATACTAAATGCATCTTTACAAAGATAAGAAAGCTCAATTTTGATGGACACAATAATAGAGGCATTGACTGAACAATGTGATTATTATTGTGGTTGGAGAATGACAGTGTTGGTGGGACAAAATATTAGCTCTCAGTTCACATCAATGGAAACTACAACAACAAAAACTATCAAATACGTCGCTCCTAAGTAGATGTCATAATATTGTGCTGGTGTTCCTAATAAAGTGATCAGATCACTGATACGTTGACTAAAGCCGATACTCATAAATCGAAGTCAGTGAGCAATGACCACAAACAAAAAACCACGCCATAAAAGAAAATTTGAGATGATAGAAATGAGCTCCAATAAAATCAAATTGACCAGAGACATTTGGACATTCTTTAAAAGTACTTTTATTTGTTGCTTTTTTTTTTTAATTGGTACAAACCTGTCAATGTGATGCATTTCAATGTAAGATCAAACATTTAATAAGAAATGTGTCAAGTAATATAGCACATACAATAAGTTAAAACATGTCACACAAGAATGTTGTTGTTGTTTTTTGTTTTTTGTTTTTTAATCTACACAAAAACACCCTTAACAGAGTTTAGGTCTAGACTGAAAGATCACTGGATAGTATAAGTGTGTGAGTGTGCAGTGTCCCCTCGTGTAAAATCCCCACGCATGCACAATGCATGCCTGCAGCTCCAACCGGCCCACTCACAGGATGTGAACACCCCCCCCTCGCGCCCCCATAAAAAAAAAACAAAAAAAAAATTCATATTTCATAAATTACCTTTTGACAGAACACAAGTTCACTTGAACACAACATTACAAGTGCTTCAAGAGGCACTCGGGGGAGACGACAATTTTTTGGGGCCCTCCGGAGAATCATTACGAAGGATTCAGAGTCAAATCTTTTTTTTTTTTTTATAAGTGAACATCATGAACCCACGCGCGGGGCTGAGCGGGTGACTTTCGTTGAGTCCCAGTGTCTAAATCGGGGGCGAGGGACACGAGACTCGGCGTGGG